GGTGGAACTGCCTGTTGCTGCTGCGGGAGTCTGGATGCCCAAGTAAAGAACCGCACCAGCTCAGGGCAACTGTGAGGAGCAAGAGGGGAGAGGCAGAGAAGGAGGCAGAGAAGGAGGAGAGCACCTGGCCAGTTGGGGGAGGCTTCTTGTGCTGCGAAAGAGGCGGCTAATGATCTCCGGCTCCGCTCTGCTTCTCCAACATCCGGTGCCGCCCTGTTCTGTGCGCCGGCTGCTCAGACTTGCTGGGCCTGACACAGAACAGCATGGCGCCGGATGTTGGAGAAGCGGAGCAAAGCCGGAGATTAGTAGCTGCCTCTTTCGGCGCAGAAAGCTTCCCCCAACCAGCCGGCTGGTCTCCTCCTTCTCTGGCTGTTTGTTCTGTATGGCCGAGGAGGAGGAGACCAACCGAGAAGCGCGCTGCCATGCAGGGGCCACGCGGCGCAGGGCAACACGCCACCGCCCGGCCCTGGCGAGGGAAAGCAGTGGGCGTTCCCCAGGTGGCGGCCCTGGCCCCGCTACCAGGGAAGCGGCTGCCCAGCTCCGTGTTGTGTGTGCGATTTTTTGGTGTGTGGCGCGGGGTCTCTTTTGGCCGGCCCCAATTTTTTTTTCAGAGGAGAATATTTTTTTTTCAGAGGCGGGCCGTATTAAAATGACCAACGGGCCGGATGTGGCCCGCGGGCCGTAGTTTGCCCACCCCTGATCTAAGACGTATAACGTTCCATTTAAAGCTGCAGTTACCCTTTTTTTATCCTTCTCAATTATGCAATTATTATTTTTAAATGTAATTACATAACCTAGTTTGACTAATACCCTTACAGAAAGCAAGTTGAACTTTAGTTGCGGTACATACAACATTTTTATATCCTGATTTATGCACGGACAATGTGCAGTACCTTCTCCTTTCGCTTTCAGGTTCCAGCCATTAGCAAGTGATATATGTTGAGAGCTTGTAGACATTTTTACAAATTTTGTCTTATCTCTCATGATGCAGTGGGATGCACCACTGTCCACCACCCATAAATCATTCTTCACATCACAGTTGCTAAACATGGTTAGTTCAAAGGCTTTCTTGGGCTTTTTTACATTCTGGCTTTTTCCCTTTTTGCAGAAACTTGCCAAATGTCCTCTTCCTCCACAATTAAAACACTTTTTAATTGTGTATGCCGTCGAAGATAAATTCTCTTCTTCCGGGTGCTTTCCTTTACTAAGCTGGTTTCTATCAAGCTTTGAAGATAATTTCTCTTCTTTCTTAGGTTTATCTTCTCTCAGCTGGTCACGTTCACACCTTCTTCTGGCTTCTTCTAGTAGCCTGCCTGTAATCTCGGTTAATGAGAGGCTATCCTTAGGCAATACTTCCAACGAAGTCACATAGTCATCATAGCTTTGATCTAATGAAGATAATATAATGTATACTTGTTGCAGCTCATTAAAGATAAGCTCTTTTTCTTGTAATTCTTGAAAAATGCTCTTTATACAGTTTAAATGAGCTAACATGTCTCCATTCCTTTGAAGATGTGTTCGAAACAGCTTCCGTGTAAGATTTATATGTGCTCCTACACTGTCCCGAACATATATCTTCCTGAGGTTCTCCCAGCAGTTTGCAGCATTTTCTTCTCCACGAATATGGACAAGCTGCTGGTCACAGAGAGTCAGTCCTATGATGCATAAAGCCTGCTCATTCTTCCGTTTATAGTCTTGTAACTTTTGGTTATCCTCTTCATCATCAGGATCCCAGCTACTCACATCTGGTGGGTTTGTTATTATGTCCCACAAACCTTCTCTACGTAGAAGTAAACTACATTTCATTGACCATGAAACATAGTTTGTTCCATCCAGCCTGGATATCAGGGACAGATGTGGTAGATTTACTTGTGCCATTACTCTTCAGATATATGACTATTTTAAACTAATAAAAACCGTTTGTTTTTACAGTAATGTGCAACTCACACCAACTCTCACTGCTATATCCTGGTTAGTTAGACTGTGCAGCTGGGCCCATAACCATTGTTAGTGTTTGGGGATAAACCCCTAGCAAAGTATGCAGCAGCAGTCAAGCCAGGCAGCCAAATGAGAGAGGAAGGGTTTTAGAGTATACACACACTGAACACAAACACTGTTTGTAGTTTAAATAGTTTTTAATCCAGTTAGAGTTTAAGCATTGTCAATCAGTCCGTATGTCATTATCAGCCGATAAAGATATCTTCTCCTCCTCCGATGCCTTTCTCCAGAGGATAACGCTGGATATTCAGTAGGACGATCAAACAGTAGACAGTCGCAATAAAACAGTAGTAAACAGTTGTATCCAGCAGTAAACAGCAGTAAACAGTAAGCAGCAAACGGTAAACAGTAAAACAGTAGGCAGTAGGCAGCAAGCTTTCTCCTGCTTCCTCTTATTGCAGTTTCTAACCGCACCCTTAATTGACTAATTACATGCAGTGTGGTGCTTAAAGTTACAAACACTTAAACTATGATACCTTAGTTTATATATTTATCCACCCAAACCTTGTTGGGTATCAATGTTATACCTAACAGGAAGCTTAGAATTTTGGCAGTAACAATAACATTGAGGGCTGGGAACAGGGAGGGCATCTTTGTGATTTCAGTGCAGACTCAAACTACTCAAACTGCTCCAAATGTGAGATTGACACTCATGGAGTATGTGTCAAATGTGTTCAGCGTAGAAATATAGACTTATAATCATACATTTTACAGAGTCTCTAGAATGGACTAGGCAACTTGTGGTCCCCAAATGCAGCTGAAGCACCATTCTTGGCACCCCTTAAAAGCGTGGACAAGAGTGAGGCCAGATATCTGCCAGACATTGTCCACTGCAGATGTAGAAGTGTGCACAGTTTGTGCTTATTATTGTACATAAGGGATTCTATAAGTAAAAGCTGTTGCTGGATTGGAATAAATGTTTCAGTTGTGAAGAAATAGTGTAAGCTTTGTAGAGAAATCTTGAAAATGAACCTGGATCTTCTGAATGTATTTATGTTAAATACGATGGGAAAAGTAAGACCAGCTACTTGTAAAAGAGCATTATTATTATGGAACGATTTCATGTCTGTAAGTATTTTCTGGTGTTTACTAGTACAAGACCAGATAATACATTGGTTGTTTATTTTATTTTGTTATTTTTATATTGCATCTTCTCTCCAGTAACCTAAGGCACTCTTTCCTCAAGTATTTTTCCACAACAAACCAGTGAGAGAAGTTGAGCTGAGGGAGGGACTGATCTCCAGTCTGTGGTGGAGATAAACCTGAACTTAAATCTCTTGGCTGAAGACCAACATTGTAACCAAAGAAGGCATCCTCATTCCTTGATGAAATGGATGTATATTTAGCATACGTTTGATATTTTACTTGAATAAAAATTACGGTAATAGGGATTCCATATTGTAGCATAGTTTATATCATTCTGTAATAATAATGTACTCTATGGCAGTATTAATCAAGCAGGATTTGTCATAGATAAGGGGATGAACATTGAACCTTATTAATATAAATACCTTTATATTAATCCTAAGGAGGATTTTGCCATAATCTTTTCATTAGATGTTGAAAAAATTCTATTGGCAATACTGTACTTACCCCTATGGAAGGGTTGCTTTTAACTTCCTGAAAAGAACAGAAGAGCGTGTGTTGAAAACAAAGGGATGGGCTGAAGTGTAAATGATTGGCGTATTAGATAGCCTAGCAATTAAGAGCGGCTTGCCTGATGAATTTTAACCCTTTCTGAATGTGGAGACAGGCTTCTCTTGCTCTGATATCTTTCCCTGCCTAAATCCTTCCCCAGGTTTATTTCAGTTCTTTTTCCTTCTAGCACAGCTACCCCTTTCTCTGTTTTTATTTCCATTCTTGCTGCTCCTACCTCCTGTTTTCCCTACAACTACAACTCTGTGAGCTGAATTGGGCCGAGAATGGCTGTGTGTGAATATGTAGGTTTATATGCTTCAAGACCGACCAACCGACTGACAGACAGACAGACGATGGATAGATGGATGGATAGATAGATAGATGTTGCAGTTTGTTTTTTGCATATTCTTTGTTTTGGGGGATTGTCTTTAATTCATTTTTGGTAATTATGGTTCCTATTTTTTCTTTCAATTTTTTTTTCTTTCAAGTAGTACTACCTGTGTATTTAATATTAATTATTTCTCTGTTAAGTTTGGCTCAAGATTCATGATTTAGTTGGGGTAACTGCCGGAATCCTGACACTGACTTGGTAACTGACCGTAAATAAGTGCAATTACTGGTAGTTTCCATTATTACAACAATTCAATGAGATATTTTAGGTGCTGTGGATTTTTCTGTTTTTTTCTTTCCCTTGCCTCCTTTTGTTCCTTTTCTATATAAAATAAGACAACCTTTTCAAAGTTTGTTGAATTATGTACTCTGAAACAAACACAGTGATTCTGAGTATCAAATAAACTCTTCTGTTTAAAAAAATATGACGAATATAATGAATCCTAGTCTAGTCGCATTGTTGCAGCATGCCGCAGTATATTGTTAAGGGCAATATGCTGACTCTGTAAACTGCTTAGAGACAGCCTGTAAAACACTATGAAGGGGTATATAAATCTAAGGGCTATTGCTGTTGCTTACATACTGTTGTAATTTGTTGGAAGCCAAGGTAACATTTCCGAAGATTGTAGAGAGATTTGATAGCGAATATCAAATATTTGTTAGTTCTGTTTGTCCAATGTTAGTCTGTTTGTCCAATGGCCCCCTTATTCAGCCGGAGCGCTACCCGGCCCTCCTCCCCAGGGGGACTCCTCCTCAGTTTCACGTTTATGACCATTATGGCTGCGTCCCAAGTCACATGGTCCCATTTTGCGACCTTATGACAAGCAAAGTCAGATTTACTTAACAACCGGGTTCTTAACTTATTAACTGCAATGATTCACTTAATGACTGTGGCAGAAATGTTAGTTTCCAATGTTAGTCTGTTTGTCCAATGCAGTGTCTGCAATATTTATTGCTACACTTGTTATTTACAGGCTGGGGAGACGGTACATCCTGTGGATCACAAGCACCGGACAGTTTATATTTGGCATTGCTGTGGCGTTCACATTTAACTACAACAGTTTTGTGATTGTCCGTTTCCTTCTTGCAATGGTAAGAGTACGAGCTTATCTTCTTTCAAAGGAAATAATTTGCGTTACTTTTTTTTAAAACTGATGTTTCAAAAAATACAAGTGCTGCATTTCCCAATCAAGTTAAAACAGTGTTTAGAGGTTTTTTTTTTTAAAAAAAATTGGTTTACTATGGATCTAATCCTATTAAGATAAAATGCAATAAATGGAATAAAGATAACATTTCATGCACTTTCCTTCAAAAATAATGGACCATGTAGCTTATAATATAGACATGGTCTCAATCCAGCCAGAGAGTTAAAGATGGAATGGTTAATTTTTCTGATTTCCTTTCTCCTAAATGAGGAATCTTAGATGGCAAATTCCCCCCTATTTTATATATTCTTGTACTGTGCAAGAATTCAGGGACGTAAGTGTGGACTGCCCTATGTTTAAATCATTTTCCCTAACTTCTTTTCTATGGGGAAAGCTCTATGCTGAGAAACCGATTGGCCAAAGATCACCTGATACATTTTGTGACCATCAGATCTGAATCTGGACCATGGTTCCCTGCCCCAGGTCCATGTTATTATATCTTGCCACCAGGTGTGAAATTCAAAATTTTTCCCTACCAGCTCTGTGGGCGTCACTTGGTAGGCGTGGCTTGGTGGGACTCAGCCTCTAAAAGGAAGAAGGCGGGTGTGCGTGGGTGGGGCCAACCGATTCAAATCGTCCCTACCACCTGTCCTGAGGTGGTGCGAGGTGGTTTCACCCCTGCTTGCCACCCAGGCATCCTTTGGCTGAACTGTGTCCACATTAGTTTCCAGTATTTATTCAATTTAGATACCACCCATTTCACTTCTCACAGTATCGCGCACTCTCACTATTATTGCTCCATTCATTATTGCAGCACCACTTTCCCCGTTAAGAAAGGTGCCTTCCTGTTTTGAGCATGTAGCATCCCTGACCATCATTTTTTTTTAATTACAAAAAAATCTTAGAGGGAGTCTAGAATGAAGCCGTTTTCTTTTACCTGTCTTTTTTCCCCCTCCTAGGTTTCAAGTGGCTACTTGGTGGTAGTGTTTGTTTATGTGACTGAATACACGGGCATCAAAGCCCGCACCTGGGCATCCATGCACATCCATTCTTTCTTTGCTGTGGGAATCATGGTGGTGGCTCTTGTGGGCTATTTGGCACGGACCTGGTGGGTCTATCAGATCTGCCTTTCTGTTGCAACTCTCCCATTTGTCTTGTGCTGCTGGATGCTCCCAGAGACACTTCTCTGGCTGCTCACAGAGGGAAGATATGAAGAAGCACAAAAAATAATTAATGTAATGGCAAGATGGAACAAAGTAAGCACTCCTTGTAAAATTGCCGAACTGTGCCCGATGCAAGATGATCTTGTCAATAGCAGGATGGGGGATCATGACAGTTCTCCCATGAAGAAACACAACATCTTAGATCTGTTCCATAACTGGCACATTGCAAGAAGGACAATTACAGTCTGGCTGATTTGGTTCACTGGGAGTTTAGGATATTATGTATTCTCCCTCAGTTCTGTGAACTTTGGAGGCAGTGAATTTTTAAATCTGTTTCTCATAGGTAAATATTGCTTGATGTAACTTATTGCACTTGGAACAGAAATACATGTCCAGGGATTATCACTGTTGCTGGTTACTTCCAATCCTAGGTCCATGCTGGGATGGCAGCCATTCCGTAAACTGTAACTTTATACAAATGGGTTAGCCAGGTAATTGTGTAACCATGTGCTTCATGGAATACAAATCGTTGTAATGAATACACATTTCAAGCAGGATTGGGGTCACTAGAAGAAGTTTGGAAGGGCTAGCCTGGTCCTCGTAAAGATTTCCTCGTAAAGATTCGGTTTTCATTAAGACACGATCCCTTTTCCATTTGGCAATTTAGGGAGAAGTACAGTAAGCAAGGAATTCTCTCCCATTTTGTTCAGTGAAATGTAATGCAACTAAATATCTCTGAACATATAGGCCATTCTCCTGCAAGTAGATTTAATAGTCATTTTATTAAAAATTGCAATTACAACACTAAAAACTTAACACAAAATTTAAAAAAAAGAAAAAAACAAGTGTAGTAAAGAAAGAAAAATAGAATAGAAAAAAAAGACTATAGTAAAGAAAAATAAGGAAAAGATATATATATATAAAAAGTGGCTTCCCCCATCAGCGCAAGTATAAACAATTTTAGTAACTTACTACCTTCTCCTACAATTAACCAAACAAACCACCTCCTCTTCCCATAACCTACCTCTTGTTTATGAACCACCCTTTCCCAACCCTTTCAGCCTGGAGGAACCCTTTAAATATTTTTCAGGCTTTGGGGAATCTCCTACCCAGTCAAGCCAGAAGTTACAAAATTATTATATTTGTTTCGTATGTTGGCTGGCATATATGTATTAACAGTGTTCTTAAACTAAACATAATAAAACTTTTTCCTCCACCTGCTCCCCCCCCCTGCATTTTTGTGGCTGCCGCTGGTGCCTGGGTCAGCCCAACCCCAGATATTTTGTGCCTGCCATGTGATGGACACCACCCACCCAGCTGTTGCACCTGCAGAAACGTAGGCACACACCTGCAAGGAGGGGTACACAGCCAAGAAGGCCCAGCGGCATCTCTCACACATGTGCTTTCTCATCACCTGCTTCTTCTCCTCCTCCTCCCTCTCTCCCCCCTCAGCTTGTGCTTTGCTCATGTCTCTGCTTGCATCGTCATGCACAATCCCTATCCCTGCCTAGGATCCACCTAAGCTCTGCTGGGCCTGTCCACTGTTGGAAGTTGGAGGTCCCCTCCCTTCTATCTCTGCTGTTTTTAAAATGAGTCATAATCTCCCAGGCTGGCTCTGGAAAGGGGAGTGTGACTCTTTTTTGAGTTTTGCCCATCTGGGTTTTAGGTGTGGCAGCTGTCTCTCCTTAATTACAACTGCCCATCCCATCAGATCTGGAAAGGAGAGGCATACTATGAATACCGTCAGTTAGGGAGCAACATTTGGCAGGTCCCAGGAGATGGGGCTTCTCTGCCCTGGCAGTTTATGGAACATCTTCTCCCCTGAAGCGAGACTGGCTGTGTTCCCACTGGTTTTCTTAAAATCCTTGAAACGTGGTGATGCCATCAGGCATGTGGACCCCAGGGGACCAGTGAGATACTGAGGTGGCTCCATTGCTATGATCATCTGCTGTTCTTTCTTAGCTTTGTGTTTTTTAAAGTTTATAACATAATAATAATTTCTTTTTTTTAACATTTAATCTTCTTCTATGCCAACCAGAATCACTTTTTTGTGAGATGGGAGGCCACATAAATTTGAAAATGAAAATCATAAAAACCAATTTTATATTCCTTTTATTTTTAACAATCTTGATCTTTAGTCCCTTCAAATAATGTTGCTAGGACTTGATTTCCTTTCATCTTTTCTTTGTCTTGTCTCACAAAATTCTTCAAAACTTGAACAAGCCTCTTGTAAATTCAATATAGAAAAATTATCCAGGCCATTCTCTTAGTTTATTACTTGTATATCCTTTTTAATTATTAAGAAATGCATGTCCAATGTAACATCATTTTCTGTATCATTCTTGCTGTCTGTCATTTTAAAATCCATTTTCAACTCCATCTTGATCTTGTCAAGTAAAACTTGTTCCTCTTCCATAAGACCTTTTAAACACAATCTATTATTAGAATGCAGATACTCTTACAATTTAACTTCTGGGTCCATTGTTCAGAAATATCCTTCTTTAGATCCTTCTAGTTTCCAATTTTTAAAATCTTATCTTTTAAAAAAATCAACACAAGATTATTTTCCCATGGGAAGGATTCTTTATTATTAATTCCAAAATCTTGTTTCAAATTTATTTGGAACCTTAGTCTTTTTGTAACTTTCTAAAATCAAAGTTTTAATAACCCTTTTCTGTTTATACCAAAAAAATATTTTATAAGTTCTTAAACTTGTAGTTAAATCTTTTTTTTTGTTAAGGGTTTAATTGAAAGTCACCTAGTGCTGTAAAACTTGTGGATCCAAAAGTTCCTAATAGCTGAAAAGCAGTTAACAAATATATATATATATATATATATGAATATGATTAGAAAAGTAAGTATTGAATTTATTGTCATTTGAAAAATGCCAATTGTGGCTTAAGCAGGATGACTATTCCCTTGTCTTCCAGAGCTCTCTCCTGTAAATAGTCTATACTTGTAGATTTATGTTCTGACTGTCCAGTGTTGTTTTCTATATCTTGTTTCCCTGCTCAAAATATCTGGCTATTGCTGGCTAATTTTAATTGGCTGATCTTGCCCCTCACATAAGTAAATTCATTTAATCATAATTCAGAATTTCTAATATGCAACCTTCATTTTTCAGGTTCTGCACACATGGTCAGTTGGGTGGTGGGGATGTTTATATAGCCTTTTGCATGAATTCTCAGCTTCTTACATTCTTCCTCTGACATCAAGATGAGAAAAATCAACTTTACAAAAACATATTATGCACTGCATGTTGAATTGTATGCATACATAGTAGACATGCATCTGCTAACTGGGTTTGCTTAAATAAGTAACTTAAAGAGCAAACAATGAGCCAGTGGCTCTCAACCTTTTCTTCACCACGGACACTCTTTAAATATCTTTTTTGGCCATGGACCACCAAGACTTAATTCAAAATTTAAATCAAAACATTTCTTCAAGCCCTCAAGCACCCCTCCTCTAGGCAGATCACAGGTTGAGAACCACTACAATAAGTTAAATGCATAACATGTCCGAAAGGAAAGTTAATTCCATATTAGTAAAATTTACACACACCTCCACCAACTACTACAAAGAGCAGGGTAAAGAAATCTTGATATACAGAAACCGGAGGGCTATTTTCCCTTCTGTTGTGTAAAGCTGCAGAGTTTTCAAGAATTCTTGAAAAAGGAATTCAATATTCTGTAAATAGTAGTTTAGGCTTGGAAGGAAGGAAGTAGTGAGAAAGAAACTCAAGTTTACCCCACCTTGATTCTTTTTAATATAAGAGGAAGGTGAAAGAATTTATATCAGGGTTTCAGGATTTTTAAACTACTTTCCAATTGTACTGATAGTGTCTGTTTCTTGACCAGGCCTACCTCAAATGTTGACATCTCTATCCAGTGAAATTCTGCCCGATTACTTTAAAATAAAGAAAGATACGTTTGTGGCACATGCTTAACCATTTTCCCCATCCCAAATAACAAGATGCAGTGGAAATCATACTAACTCAATTGTTATGATTCAGACAAGTAAAGGATCTTTAAATCCTCCTGGGGAATGTTCAGTCTGGGCTTAGATTCCTTATGTTGAAATTAGTGTGCCTCAAAATGGTTCAGTTTACATAGATTGTTCCTGTTTGTTGGGACCATTCAGGATCAGTATATACATACAAATATACATGGTATTCAGCTTTGTTCAGGTATTTTCCCACGTCATTATAGTTGTGCTTTTAAAGTTGTACTTAGATGAACACAAAAATGCAGTAAAAAAGCTGGAACACACTTCCTCACTAGTCCAACACATGAAAGGCACAGGTCACAGCATCGACTTCAATGGCACCAAAACCCTAGCCACTATAGAAAACCCCAGCTACAGAATTATCAGAGAAGCCATAGAGATTGAAAAAAGACCTAAAGCATGAATAGAAGAGATGACTCCACCATACTGTCAATTATCTGGAAGCCTGCACTCTCAAACAAAAAAATCTCCACACCACAAGCCAGCCAAACACCTGGGCACAAACAGACCACCCTGATACCTCCAGCTCAAACACACCCCAACCAGGCACCCAGATGAAACCTAGCTTCCTAATAAATGATAGCCGTCCGTTTACTCGGAGCCAAGCTGCACTAAAAGCCTCCAATACAGGAAACACAATGTTGCCAGCCAATCAAGACAAAAAAAAAAGCTACAAAACAGACAGAAGATATTAGAAACACCAATCAAGCAGAACACAGCAAACTCCAAGACCAATAAACACAGACCAAGACTCCCAACCAATCAGGATGAAGAAAAAACCATTCTGGCACAGCGCAGGCTAGCACCAAATTTAAAACAGAAACGGCTGTGAAAGTCTGACAGACGAACACAATACAGAAGCCTGATGATGGCAGATGAGATTCTGCCGAAACGTTGCTACAACTTTAAAAGCACAACTATAATGACGTGGGAAAATACCCGAACAAAGCTGAATACCATACATATAAATACCTGCGAAAACTTAAGAAAACAAATACAAATATACAGTATATACATCAAATCAATTGACTTATCTAAAGTGTTTTCTCTTCCACACTAAGTAAATATTACAAGATGAATAGTCACCATTACAAAGTTTTGTCCAAAGAAATGATTGAATCTTGAAGAGGTCTTTTCTTTAAAAAAGACATATTGTAGAGGTAAGAAGGATAGCCAATTTCCATTTCCCTGGAGCATTTTCCTCAATGGCAAGTGCATATCTGTAAATTACGTTCAATATTTGCACTAACTTTGTGAGATAGGCGAAATCTTATTACTCCCATTTTGAGGCCAAAGAAGAATGAGATATAGAGGCTTATCCACCTATGTTAACTTTCCCCAACCCAACCTTGTTCAGATTTAATTCCAATTTCCATAATCCTCAGTCAGCATTCTTGTGGGGTAGGAATTATGGGAGTTGAACCAATATGCTTAGAAGAAACAGTCAAAAAAACAGGCTGAAAAACTCAGTTTATATTTATTGGAGATATTATGAAATGCAAGGACTTAAGTATGCCACCAGGACATTTGAGTGAAAAAGAGCTATAGGAGATAGAAAAACTGCAGGGAAGTATTAATGTTCTTGTGTCTTTATACTCTTAAGAACTTTCTAAAAACTCTCATTTTCTAATGGCAGGTGCTGTGGAGCTTCCAGCATATGCCATTGCCTGCCTGGGAATGGAAAAAATAGGGCGAAGGAACACCCTGATCCCATTCCTCATCACAAGTGCAGTGATCTGTGGGATAGTGATGCTCATACCTCAGGTGAGTAACTCACACCAAGATCCTATAGGAACACATTTGATGTATTTAATTTGCACTGCTTTATTAGGTTTCCCACATTGAGCCAAAGGTATCTTTCCACTCTGTTGACTTGAAGTGAATTAATATTCCTTTGTCAGTGTAATGTTCCTATGAACATGTTTACAGGGACCTTAAAAATGTAATTGCAAAATCTTGCAAGAGCATTGAAATTGGCAAACAAATAGTTCTTATGATGGCTGATGGCTTATGATGATGGCTTTTATTATTTTAGTTTTGCTAGCTTACAGAGTTTAAATTCAACATTCTCCCAGGATAGTCACTAATAAATCTTATTTCGGGTTGGGAATTTGGTCGAATAAAACCGTCTTTAAGGATTTCTTCTAAAAAGAACGGGCGGGGGGAGACTTTACAGATTTCTGGAGTTCTGAAATATGGGGTTTATATACAGAAAACTGGAATAGAATAAAGGAAACCTGATTCTTGTCAATTGTGAATTGGATGAACAACATGGATTCTTTGTGTTTAGAAATCTTTCCTGAATTCTGGTACACCAGGGATAAAGCTAAATGTGAGTTCTCTCTCCACATGCTTTACAAATTGTCTTTCTTCTTAATAGGATTTCAATACTCTGAGTATATCAGCAAATATGGCTGGAAAATTTGCAATAGGAATTGCATTTGGCCTTATCTACTTGTATACGGCAGAACTCTATCCAACAGTTGTACGGTGAGTTTTTTCCCTCTCTTTACAGCTAGTGTTAACAGTATTAATATGTCACTTTAGTATTTTATGGAAAATATTTTCTGTTGCAACAGTAGCCTCATAATTTGGACAATTCAAGTGAACAATGCCATTTTTGGTATTGTAGGTCTCTTGCTGTTGGAAGTGGGAGCATGATGTGCCGAGCTGGTAGCGTGGTTGCACCTTTTTGTGTCTATCTGTCAAGTGTTTGGATCTTCTTCCCACAGGTAAGTGCCGTATCTAAGAGTAACACCCAACTAAAATGAACAACAACATTCTTTAGAAGTCTGGGTCTGGGAACTACCAGCTGCTAAATTGATTTATCCTTCACTTGAAGGCTGTGCTAATATGTACGGTACTTTTTTTTCTCACTGTTTTGTCTGCCCTAACCTTTATTTTTAGAGAGATAATTCTAGCTAGGATATAGTACAAGGCTTAGACATGCAATTCCACTGTAAACATGATTTGATGATTTGAAGTCTATGCATCTTAGAGTTGACAAGTTTGAAAAACATTGCTGTTGTATAGACCAAGGGTGTCAAACTCCAGGCCTGGGGCCCAGATCTGGCCCATGGGGTTGCCCTGGAAATAGTGAAGGACTGGACCACGGTCCTCTGCCAGTGAAAATGTGGCCTTCCCGAGCTCTGTTTTTGCTTGCAGAGGGTTGCAGGAGGCCGTCCCAGCCAAAAACTGAGCTCCAGACCCCATTTTCTCTGGCAGAGCACTCAGGCCACAGGTGCCCCCAACACAAGTGATGTCAAGCTGGACATGCCACCCTGGCCATGCTCATCCCAGCCCCTGAGGTCAAACACAACCCTGATGTGGCCCTCAGTGAAATCAAGTTTGACACCCCTGGTATAGACCCATCATATCTTTGCATTGAGGGGAGAATGTATTACTGATCATAACATGGATTATACTGGTGTGCTTTCAGCCATAGGACAAAGGTACCAGTGCCCACTTGTAGAATTAACTTTAACAGAGATTAGGCAGGCCTCCAGCATGATGCATTTTTGCTGGAAATTTAATTCTTTATTTACCTTCCCTTGATTTTACTAGCTGCCCCACCTTTGGTAATTTATTTTAACATTGCTAGTTTAATCAGCTTTTGCTTTGTCTTACTTATGATTGAATTGGTATAATTATTGCCATTTTACTGAAACACAATATGAACAATTTGAAAAAGCTATATTATGATCATATTTTTAAACAACTGTTTCTAGGGCCACAAAAATCCCAAATAAATAAAGCAATGCAGGAAGAACATTAAAAAGGTTAAAGCAGAAAACTGTGATTTAGACATTGCTATTGGAGCTGATGCCGATGGCTCTTTGTGACAGTTTAAGAGCAAATTAAAATACTTCCTTTTAGCCAAATATTTAAGAAAAACATTCAAAAGTTTCTTCAGCTGGGCTTTAATGGTTTGTATTGGATGAACAGGTAGTCCTAGACTTATAACCATTTGTTGACCAACTGTCCAAAGTTACAGTGGCATTGAAAAAAGTTAATGGGCCTTACACTTTCTACCTTTGTAGGATATTGTTGATCACAAATTTGGGCACTAGGCAACTGGCATGTATTTATGATGTTTGCAGCATTCCGGGATCATGTGATCTCCATTATGACCTTCCCAGCCAGTTTTGACATGCAAAGTCAATAGGGGAAGCAACTTAATGTGATCACACGATTTACAAATGCAGTGATTCACTTCACAATTGTGGCAAAAAAGGTTGCAAAATCAGGGAAGATTCACTTAACTTGCCTTGCTTAGCAATGGAAATACTGGCTCCCATTCTGGTTGTACATCAAGGATTACCTGTATAAAAGCCACCTAGACTTGTTCATGCGATTCTAGATATCAACGTTCCAAACGTATAGCGGCAGCAATGGGTGCATTTCAGTGGTATAGAATTCTATTGCATTATCTCTCTTTCAAGCTAATATTCTCATTTGAATGCTGTTTTTTTTTCTTTTAGCTGATCGTTGGAATCATGGCCTTCTTGAGCGGTGTGTTAACACTGATGCTGCCAGAAACACTTGGAAAACCATTGACAAACACGTGGGCAGAAGCTGCAGAACTAGATGACCAGGTCACCAATAAAAGCCATTCAGAAAAAACTATTCCAGCACAAAATGATTCAACGCTGGAGAAAATGGAAATGCTAAACCAAGGAGCACGGGGCACTGATTGATAAAACCATCCCTTTGGTTTTAGCCAGCTTGTGTAGTTTTATCTGCAACATCTTAACATGGTATCATGTATGGAACATTTTCTTGCTTTCTCAAGAAGGGAGACATATAATCTAATTCCTTGTTCGGGATGCTTTTCTGAATCATCTAGCTAGTAACTGGAGTAATGTGAATTTTAATTTTTGAGACACACACAGAGAAAAGGTTCTCTTTCAGAGTTCCTGTTACTTTTCCTGCCTGCTTATTTTGAAAACCTGTCTCAGAATTCCTTGTATCAGCAACAACCAGCACCAGAAGACACAAAGTAGAAACTCATGATTTCAGGAAGAAGTATGGCAGTGCAGGAACACTCACATTGTGTTGCAGTGGTTTCTCTGTACATGGAAGATGCAGTTGTATTTTCTACGATTTTGTCTCCTTACTTAGCAATGTCATCAGTTAAGGAAAAGAAACAGGCATTCTATAACTTTCATGCACCCTGTCCTAGGTATCAGCATTGTGCAGATGGAAGAAAATACTGTTTCTTGATGTAGTTTTAGTACAGTCGGAAGAACACAACTGAAATCAGATTGTATTAAAAATAACACTCTTCAAAATGTCTAATAACTTGCACAGTCTAGAAAATGTTTATATATGTCAATTCTTATTACAAAATTGAACACCTCAGCAAATTTGGGGAGGAAGGAGCCTAGGAACATTTTGAAGAAAATATGCAGAGATTGTCAAGAAAACCAAGAACAAATGGAAATATAATAAATAAGAGAAGTGGAAAACAACATATGTAGAAGGGGAAAAACCAAGAAAGTCCAGTTGCCTTTTTAACAGCACCTTTGGAACAACCAGGACCTGGATGATTGAGAATTTCCATAGATATACATAAATGGGGGAAAAAACACCTTTGTGAGGTTAGGCTCCAGGTACTCCATCAGGACCCTTATACACTGCTCAAAAAAATAAAGGGAACACTTAAACAACACAATGTAACTCCAAGTCAATCACACTTCTGTGAAATCAAACTGTCCACTTAGGTAGCAACACTGATTGACAATCAATTTCACATGCTGTTGTGCAAATGGAATAGACAACAGGTGGAAAGAATAGGCAGTTAGCAAGACATCCCCAATAAAGGAGTGGTCCTGCAGGTGGTGACCACAGACCACTTCTCAGTTCCTATGCTTTCTGGCTGATGGTTTGGTGCTTTCACTCTAGTGGTAGCATGAGACGGAGTCTACAACCCACACAAGTGGCTCAGGTAGTGCAGCTCATCCAGGATGGCACATCAATGCGAGCTGTGGCAAGAAGGTTTGCTGTGTCAGCGTAGTGTCCAGAGCATGGAGGCGCTACCAGGAGACATGCCAGTACATCAGGAGACGTGGAGGAGGCTGTAGGAGGGCAACAACCCAGCATCAGGACCGCTACCTCCTCCTTTGTGCAAGGAGGGACAGGAGGAGCACTGCCAGAGCCCTGCAAAATGACCTCCAGCGGGCCACAAATGTGCATGTGGCTGCTCAAACGGTCAGAAACAGACTCCATGAGGGTGGTATGAGGGCCCGACATCCACAGGTGGGGGTTGTGCTTACAGCCCAACACCGTGCAGGATGTTTGGCATTTTCCAGAGAACACCAAGATTGGCAGATTTGCCACTGGTGCCCTGTGCTCTTCACCGATGAAAGAAGGTTCACACTGAGCACATGTGACAAATGTAACAGGGTCTGGAGATGCTGTGGAGAACATTCTGCTGCCTGCAACATCCTCCAGCATGACCGGTTTGGCAGTGGATCAGTAATGGTGTGGGGTGGCATTTCTTTAGGGGACCGCACAGCCCTCCATGTGCTCGCCATAGGTAGCCTGACTGCCATTAGGTACCGAGATGAGATCCTCAGACCCCTTGTGAGACCATATGCTGGTGCGGTTGGCCCTGGGTTCCTCCTAATGCAAGACAATGCTAGACCTCATGTGGCTGGAGTGTGTCAGCAGTTCCTGCAAGACGAAGGCATTGATGCTATGGACTGGCCCGCCCGTTCCCCAGACCTGAATCCAATTGAGCACATCTGGTACATCATGTCTCGCTTTGTCTACCAACGCCACATTGCACCACAGACTGTCCAGGAGTTGTGGGATGCTTTAGTCCAGGTGTGGGAGGAGATCCCTCAGGAGACCATCCACCACCTCATCAGGAGATGCCCAGGCATTGTAGGGAAGTCATACAGGCACGTGGAGGCCACACACACTACTGAGCCTCATTTTGACTTGTTTTAAGGACATTACATCAACGTTGGATCAGCCTGTAGTGTTTTTTTCCACTTTAATTTTGAGTGTAACTCCAAATCCAGACCTCCATGGGTTGCTAAATTTGATTTCCATTGATAATTTTTGTGTGATTTTGTTGTCAGCACATTCAACTATGTAATGAACAAAGTATTTAATGAGAATATTTCATTCATTCAGATCTAGGATGTCTTATTTTTGTGTTCCCTTTATTTTTTTGAGCAATGTACTTTGTTCCATGAGTGATGTTGCATGACCATTGCATGTATTCTGATACATCATATTGATTCTGAGCAAAGCCCTTTGATGATTCTTGAGGGCTTTGCTAATTTAGTTCATTATCTTATTCCTTCTGGAAGGGAAACAGAGACTAATGGGTAAAACCAGCCTTTAAAACAGCACTTTCTCTCCTGCCATCCACCCTCCATCAGCTTCTCCAGAATGAGTCAATACTTTCTATCCCTACCCTCACACTCCTGGTTTTTGTGTAAGTCCATGTTTGGTGCTCTTGAAAATGGAGATACATACGTGTGGGTTTTCATGCCTCTAAAAGCAAACCCACTTTCAATGTGGAACCAAGGCTCCCATTACAAGTGCATGGAGGCAACAGGAAAAGATCTAATGAAACCAATACATTAAAGCGCTCTATTAATAAAAAGTATGTACATTATGTTCAGCATCTACTCCAGTTTTTAATAATGTACACTGGCAATACTATAAAGCTAGTCTTTGACTTACAACCATTTGTCTTGTGACCATTTGAAGTTACAATGGCACTGAAAAATGTGATTTATGGTCGTTTTTCACACTTACGATCATTGCAGTATCCCCACGGTCACATGATCAGAATTTGGATTCTTGGCAACTGGCATGTACGTATGACAGTTGCAGTGTCTTGGGGGGGGGGTCATATGATCACCTTTTCAGGCTTTCTGACAAACACAGTAAATGGGGAAGCCAAATTCCACTTAACAACTGTGTTATTAAGTTAACAACTGCAGTGATTCACTTAACGACTATGGAAAGGTCATAAAATGAGGGAAATCACTTAACAACTCTCTTCTTTAGCAACAGAAATTTTGGGTTCAGTTGTGGTTGTAAGTCGAGAACTACCTTATATGTAATTAGATTGATTAAATAGTGTACATAAACAAAATGTACCAGACATTTTTCCAGTGGATTCTTACATACCGTATTTGCCGGCGTATAAGACGACTTTTTTGCCCCGAAAAACATGCCTCCAAGTGGGGGGGTCGTCTTATACGCCGGTATATCCACTGCCGGCTTTCGGATGCTTGTTGGACGCAGCGAAGGCGCCTCTAGCTTCCTGGATCCCCTGCGTCGCTTCCGCTTCATCCTGCTCGCCTCGCTCCGCCCGAGGCTGCAGCCTTCCCGCTCTTCCCACGGACCCTGGCACTCCGCCCTGCCGCTGCAGCCCCGGGGATTTCTGGAGGGCGTTTCCGGTGGTGGTGGGGGGTCGTCTTATACGCCGGGTCGTCTTATACGCCGGCAAATACGGTAGTTTGAGCTAAAGTTACTGATGCTTTTATATCAATGTTTTTTAAATTCAAGAAAGAGAATGTCAAGTTCATTGTCAATGCTAGTGCTGGCTAACAATCACAAGATGATAAGAACCACGTGCAGGAGATTTTTCTACCGTCTTGCAATGATCTGGATACAGCAGCCCCAGTTTACACATGCCAAAACATAAGATTAAATGCAGTTTCCATCACTTCAATTTCAGTCTCTTTCTATTCCTGCTTTCCTTTATTTTCTTATCCTGATGAGAAATTCTGGAGGTCTCAAAACCTTTCAGTCTTTCAGTTGGCCCCATAAATACACTGCTCTATTATACATTTTGAAATTCTTGATGGCTATCACAGTTGCCTGTATTCAACAGTCCAAGCGTAGAACAGTTGCAATTGCTCTGGGTTCACTCATTTCACTGAACCATAATCCACTCATATTTTAACTTCTGGTATTCTGCAAGCTCAGATCTACCAATTTCAGAAGTATTAATCCAAGTATTAGACCTAGCTCTACTTAATTGTTGGATAGGGTGTACTGTCAGGAAATGAAGATGGAATGGAATTTAAAAATGTGCAAAAACTCATGGAGGAGGGGTGACAAAAGGGAACCTCTACTTTTCTATTCTAAGTTGTATGAAATTCACTTCTGTACAGGTAAAAACAATTGTAAAGTCACCTTCAAACTGTACTCAATTCCCAGTAAGAAACCTACATAACACCGATTCTACGCTTGGATTAGTTTAGTGACTACACTCCCATATCATATTAAACCATGGTTTGATTCACCCTGATTTAATGAATGAACTACATTTGACTAAGTTTATAAAATTGTATAACTATAGGGGAGCCTAGAAGAAGATGTCCTCTACCCTAAACCCCTCTCTAGGATAAGAATTCTTGAGCCGTCTCAGGTTGTCCTTTGTTTGAAAACCCCATGATGGAATACCCATAACTTCAGAAGGCAGGGTATTCCGCTCTTTAAGAGCTATTATGATCAGCAAATTACTCTTTATTTTGGGATTGGACCTTTCTCTATAAAGAATTGGTTTCTGTAAGGCATTACAGAGAATAAATGCATGACTTCTTGTGATGGCTCTTCAAGTATTAAAAGACTGCTATTATGTCTCCCCTTTTGTCTTCTCTTCTTAAAGCTTAGATATATTTAATTCTTTTAATATTATTTCATGGAGTTTAATCTCCAAGGATTTCACTATATTTGATGCTCTTCTCTACACTCTCCAGTTTCTCAGCAGTTTGCTTGTTTGGGGAAATCAAAACCCAACCTAGTATTCCAATTGCTGTCTGACCAATGCTGTCTTAAGCAGAATGATCACTTCCATGATCTTGACATTATACCGTACCTCTGTACCAGCCTCAACTTCTGTAGCTCAAAACTACATTGGCTCCTTTGGCAGCTGCAGCACAGTGTGCCTTGTGCTTACCTTGTGGTTTTTCAGAACACCCAGAACCTTCTCACAACCTCTGCCAAGCCAAGGTACCAACTTAGCATCTCACAATTCTCATCACTGGATAGAGCTTTGCTAAACAGAACTACTTATCTTTGAACCTTCAGCCTGTTTTGTGAAATTAACAATTTTCCTCACCTCCTTTGTGTCATCTGCAGATTTGCCAAGACTCCCATTTGTGCCCTCATCTATGTCAGTTGTAAATATTTTTTATTTATTTATTTATTTATTTATTTATTTATTTATTTATTATTTATTTGATTTGCCAATTGTTTACAAGATAATAAGTATAAGTGTATACATAGTTGTGAATACATGAAATGGGTACATATAAGAAAAATAAAAGAAGAATAAGAGAAACAATAGGACAGGGACGGTAGGCACGTTGGTGCGCTTATGCACGTCCCCTACAGACCTCTTAGGAAAGGGGTGAGGTCAATAGTAGACAGTCTAAGGTTAAAGTTTTTGGGGTTTGGGGAAGAAACTACAGAGTCGGGTAGAGTATTCCAGACATTGACCACTCTATTGCTGAAGTCGTATTTCCTGCAATCAAGTTTGGTGCGGTTAACTTTGAGTTTGTATCTATTGTGTGCTCTTGTGTTGTTATGGTTGAAGCTGAAGTATTCATTGACAGGTAGGACACTGCAATGTATGATTTTATATACCATGCTTAAATCAGACCGAAGACGGCGTAATTCAAGGTTTTCTAGTTCTAGAATTTCAAGTCTGGTGGCATAAGGTATTCTACAACGAGTAGAGGAGTGGAGAACTCTTCTTGTGAAATATTTCTGGACTTTCTCAATTGTGCTAATATCAGATACGTAATGTGGGTTCCAGACTGATGAACTGTATTCGAGTATTGTCTAGCAAATGTTTTGTATGCTCTGGTTAGTAGTGTGATATTACCAGAGAAAAAGCTACGTAGGATTAGGTTAACAACTCTTAATGCCTTTTTGGCTATGTAGTTGCAGTGGGCTCTAGCGCACTATATATGCTGAAGAGCAAGGCAGAGATATCCTACTGCATAACTATCTTTCATGCAATATGCTCCAGGGGGTCTTCAAACTTGACAGCTTTAAGATTTGTGGACTTCAATTCCCAGAATTCCTCCTCCAGTCATGTTGGCTCAGGAATTCTGGGAGTTGAAGTCCACAAGTCTTAAACTTGCCAAGTTTGAAGACCCTTGTGCTAATCCATAACCAAATCACATGGAATGTTCACATGTTACCTGTGGTTGTTTTTTTTTTGCTACTATTGTGCCCGTACAATTTAGCCGTGCTGATTATAAAGACTGTAGCAAAGCAACCCATTCAAATACTTTCCCCTATGTCTCCAAATAGCAGTCCCAGGGCTGCCGCCTCAAAAGGAAATTCCTCCGAAAGTCGCATCTTTCACAAGACTTTTCCAACGCGCACGCGCGAGCGACCAAAAAAAAAAAAAAAAGGAGCAGAAGACGTCTTTTCTCCCACTCCGTCCAATCAGAATCTAGTAGAGTTGGCTAATCATGATAACTCCGCCCACTGGAGTCATGTTTTCCGGTGTTGAGCTTGGATCCGCCTGATTCGCTCTGATACGCAACGCTTCTGTGCGAAAGCCGCACTTGTCAGAAAACATCAGGTTTCTTCTGCGAAGAAGAAAGGTATTTCTGTCCTCCCTCTCCCTTCCCCATGTAATACGTGTGGTTCTTGAAAGCTTTACGTCGATAGTGCACTCAGTCAATTCTTGCAAATGCAGGCTTGTACATGAAACGTACGTTAAGTTGTACTTTACAGCAACATAAGTTTTCTTTTTTGCACCCGTGGAGAAATTGCTCTTCCCTGATATTGATCAAGCCATCAATAGGTCTTTTTTTTTAATTTTCCTTGTTTTAACTAACTTTGGAAGAACGATATTTTGAAACACACACACACACACACACTTGATTCTTGAAAACTGATGGTTTGTCATTAACATTTATGAAATAAGCTTAGTGACTGGTATTTATTGATACACTCAAACTCCTGACAGCATTAAAGTGTTTTGGGGGGAAATATATTCTCATATTCGTTCTGTGATTTTTCTTAATTTACTGAAGCAATGGCATGTCCAGAGCTACTGACCTTTTGCACTAAAAATAAGCAAAGTGTCCAGTGACTCCTTAATAGTTAGCATCTTTTTTTTTTTTATAGCATATGCTTTTATAGAACCCACCTGTTTGGTAAATCTCTAAGAAAGCTTTATGTGCCATAAACGCTCAGCAAAAATGCTATGCAGTTATTTAGGAACAGGAGGAAATGGGGCTTATTTTTGAGTAAGCAAAAGTCAAATTCAAAATCCATAAGGAAGGAAATGCTTTTATTAGCCTAACTGAACTTTTATTCACAAGATCTAGTTATCACAAGTCTTTGACTTCAACCAAGATGGTGAGGAAGCCATGAAAAGTATAAAAAAAAAAGATAGCCTCAATATTGCTTTGACAGGTTCTTTTTTTTTTAAAGAAACCTCCAAAGAGAGTTTGTGGCCTTGTTTGAGGGTGCATGTACTGTTCCCCTGTATTTCTGTGTGGCTTTCTTACATTGAGCAGCTGATCTGATTCACTTCTGGCTTGACAAATCTACTGTTTAATTTATGGGACACTCACATTTGGGAATGGACAGTTTTTCATTGGCAAGAGTTTTCTGTCCTCTTGGCTTGCCTCCTTCCCACCTTTCCCATACACTTTTAGTTGGAGATAGAGAGGAGAATGCCTTGTAATCTTATTCTCTTTTGCCTCCTTGCAAGGAAAAAAAAGTTTTGTTAAGAACACCAAAGGAGGTACTTTCCCAAGAGGGGTGGGATTGGCTGACTGGAGTGCTGCTTTTTGTACTAGTTTTATACAAATACTTTTTGTATTAGTCAGCTGTTTGAGGTCAAAGATTTCACTTGTCAGTCATGGAGTAGTCGTAGACATATGATCCAGCCTTTAAAGACCTTACTACATGCAGATTATTGTTTTGGAGTTAAATTATCATTCACCATATAACACTGCCAAGAAAAGATTGCATTGCAGAAAATAAATTTACGAGTTTTCTGCCCTACTTGAGTTGCTGTATTTTTTTACAAAATTTACAAAACAACAGTGATCACCACCAACCAGGTAATATTCTGCAAAAGTAAAGCACCAGTTCCCTTCATCTTTGTCTTCATTTCCATGAAAGCCACTGGATTCCATAAGCATCTTTAGAAAATAACATTGACAAGTATCTGGAACCCAGTTTTTTTTTTTAAGTGTACCCATTTTCCCAAAAGAAATTCAATTGTAAATAAAGGATCTGGGTAGTTGAGATGAACAGTGAAATAACAGGAAACATCAGTTTGCTTCTCATAAATTAATTTTTATAAGTTTTGTTTGTTACTATTGCTCACCATCATTTAAAGGCTACTTTAAGTATTCCTTAGTGATGATATATTTTATCATAATAGTCATATGAGCAAAAATGGCACTACATCTATATCAGAAGTGGTATTCAGCAGGTTCTGACCAGTTCTAGAGAACCGGTAGCGGAAATTTTGAGTAGTTCAGAGAACCAGCAAATACCACCTCTGACTGGAGATTTTACAGTATCCTTCCACTGCCATGCCCATCAAGCCACACTCACAGAACCGGTAGTAAAAATTTTTTGAATCCCACCATGATCTATATGGAGGGGAAAGTAAGCATAAGGTTCTGTCTTTGGCTCATTCCTCTTCAATATCTTCATAATGACTTAGATGAGGGAATGGAAGGGGAACTCAAATTTGCAGATGATGCTAAGCTGGCGGGAATATACAACCCCCTAGATCAGGGCTGTCAAACTTGGGGCCTGCGGGCCAGATATGTCACGTGCTGGTAGATAAGGGGGGGAAAGTTGTGATATGTCATGTGACAATGCCGTACCAATGCGAATTGGACACCCTTGCCCTAGATGATAGACTCAAGATCCAGATGGATCTCGACTGCCTTGAACACTGGGCCTATATAACAGAATGAAATTTAATGTAGAGAAAAGTAAGGTCTTACACTTAGACAGGAAAAACTAAAAGTAGATGTACAGATTAGGTGGAACCTGGCTTATAATAGTAACTGAGAAGGATCTTGGAGTCCTAATGGACAATCAATTAAATATGATCCAGCAAATGTGCAGCAGCAGCCCAAAAAGCCAATGCAATCCTAAATTGCATTAACAGAGGGATAGAATCAAGATCATGTGAGGTACTAGTATCATTCTGTAAAGCCTTAGCAAGGCCACACCTGGAATACTGCATGCAGTTTTGTTTTTTATATACTGATTTAGCATATTGTTAGCCACATCCCACTATTTGGGAAGGACACACTGAAACATTCAAGATGCTATTATTTAAATAGGATGATGACAATAGTAACAATATCTGAAAGTTCATTCAGAAATCAAAGCAAAAGTTCTAGGGGCCAAATAGCTTGGATTCTTTAAGTGAATTGTTCATTTTTTGTTGTCAGATTCTGAATTATAGCTATAGATTATGAATTTTTATCTTTCCGCAGATTACAGAATGGTGGGAAAGTAGTCTAAGACAAATAATTTCTTTAGCAATAAAAGTCAACTCAACATGATCTGGCTACTATGAATCAGGCTACTATGCAGTATATTGTTTCTTTTTTTCTTATTCATATCCATTTCATGTATTCATAACCATGTTTATCCTTATATACCTGTTATCTAATAATCGCTTGACAAAATAAAATAAAAATAAATAAATAAATAAAATATGTTTTCCAGAGCAGTTTTCTCCAACCTGGGGGGAATCATTCATGTGTATGGATTTCAATTCCCAGAATTCCCATGATAGCATTTGTTTTTTCTAATTGATGAAATCAAATAAAGCAAAGCATGTTGTATATGTGGTTTTAAAACCCCATCTTAATAAAAATGCATGAATGCTTGCAAATAAAACACTTACAAAAGTTAATTGGAGGGAGGAGTTTAGCTAGCCATCTTCAATTTGTAAGCCTATCTATCAAATACTCAAAGAGAACTCTGAGAAAATCCTCAAAGAAGTTTAGAAAGTCCTTTGGTCTACCAAACCTTTTGCAATGTGACTTTTGAAAGGACGGATATGGCAGGAATCCACACACATTAAAAAAAATGCTGTATTCTTTCCTAGGAGGGACAAAGAACAAATACTTCAGCTGTTCTTTTAACTGGTAATATATTTGGGAAATTATCAACTGGATTTTTTCTTGCCAAGTTCAAAGTTCAGATTCTTGTTTTGAAGCAAAACAGATCAGTAAAATGGCAAAACTACATAGAAATTCAAGCTTTTCAGCTATTCTTAAACAGATTGCAAAAGACATCTTGTTCAAACCCATTAAAAACTCAACTTGTTTCCTAAACTGCATCTATTTATATATAAATCAAAGATAAAATTGCTATAAAATATGAAGTCTGCAGCAAAGGTATTCTTAGATAGTGTTTCTAAACATGTATGTACATTAAGCACTTACATGTCAAATTGATACCCAGTGCCATAAATCTCTGCCAAGTTGTCATTTTGTACACTTCAAAACAGCAATATTTCCGCTCCTCAATCCTTCCAAACTGTTTGCACATTGTTGGTGGGATCATCTTCCCTTTTGCAGCCATTGGATACTGAGGACAGGATAGGAATATCATGAGCCTCTCTTTGCACCTGACCAATTGACAAGGACAAAACATCTCCATGATTGAATCTGCTGCCATGATTCATGATATAGACAGATACTCTAGATAGATCCATAGCACAAAATAAAAATCAGAGAAAGAAAAAAATACAATTTAAAGAAACCACAAAAGTCATTCCTCACTCCATTCAAAAAAATGAAACATTTGTTTTAAATGGCTAGCACATACTGTCAAGCCTAAAATTGACATATGCGTAGCCATTTTATTTAGCCTTATTATATATTCCTTTTCTTTCTTTCTTTCTCTTTGCTGGTTTTTTAGGCTAGGTGGTTCTTCTTCCCGTGGGAACAAAAGCTGACCACATTGAGACCTGGAGGTAGAGATTGAAGACACCAGGAAAAGTTGATTTACTTCTATGGGAAATAGGACTTTTGGGGGATGTTTCTAACTTCCAATATTATGTGGTGTAATTCCGGGTTGTGTCAGATCCGGAATTACAACAGACTTTGCCAATTTGCTGATTTCCTAAATAAAAGAAATTGTTTTGGAAGATGGACTTTGCTCTTTTTTTTTTTAAATGGATTTCATCACTTAGAAACCTGACACATACAAGCAAACATATCCATGTTTTTAGTATACGATTGGGCATTTGTAAATGTGTGATGTGCGATTGGGCATTTTTAAAATAGGGGCAATAACTGAGCATTTGTAAGAGAAAGCTGCCTGGCTATCAAGTCGTTATCATGCATTTTAAAAGTTTCTGTTTTCTTCTGTCGCATGTTATGGTATGCAAGTTATATGTGACACACATAATGCTGTAGCCATGGACTGACTTTGGCTGGTTGAGGCTGATATTGGCACATTATTTTTCCCTTCCCTCCTTCCCCTCTCCCCCTCCCCCATTATTGTGCTCTGCCATCTGTGGCCATGCTGGCTTAGGCTGCAGGAAAAAGTGGACACTGTGCTTTTTAAACTGGGCAACTCTTAAGAAGTGTGGACTTCCAACTCCAAGAATTCCCCAACCAGCATATTGATCTATAACAGGTGTGCCAAACTGGCGGCCCGTGGGCCAGATGTGTCATGAGCAGGCCATGCCCACCTCAGCTCCACAAGGGGGAAAACTTTGTGAAACATCATGTGACAGCATGGCCTGTGGAACATCAAGCCATACTTTTTAATAAAAACATCATCACAACTACATATATAGCTTATGTTTTTTCCTAAAATTGTATTATCCTATGTATTAATGTGGGACCAAGAAAGAACCATGAAGGAACATGATAAAATCATGCAGACAAAACAACCCTCAAATGTCTTAAGATACCAACCAAAAAAGATCCATCCTTTTTCAAACATTCATTGAGGAATTCAATAGAAATTAAACAAAATGTGCGGATAAATTTCCTTCATCTTTAAATCATAGGAAGTATATTTTCCATTTCTTAAAACTTCGGCATGTTGATTGTTTGTACAGACATTAACTGTATTCATATGTTTTATTGAGCTATCATAATTGTATTACTCCCATCTGTTGTACTTCACCAATAAAACAAAGATAATATCATTAAACAAATGTTCAAGAGTCTTTCACTGGATCCAGGGGGAAAAAAAAGAAAGGGGCTGAGGGTTGATTTAACAAGGAAGAAACAGTATTGCTGATTCTGTGTGCAAAAATTGTCAAAATGTTTTTTTGTTTTTGCCAGCAAAGGGTTTGGCACATTTATTACCTTTTTTATGACTTTGGAAGGAAGGATGTGCCATTTTTCTTATTCAGTACTATTTTGACCACCTGGGATAATTTCAGGTGCAACCACTTGCTAACAACTTGTAGCATTATTAACGTGGCATTGTAGCATTATTAAATGAGGGTCATTCTGGAGTTTGAGTAAAAGTGACAAGCATTCTCTGCCAAATTCTCTTCTAGCTCAAGTGACAGGAAGGGTGATTGATTTGTTACAGGCTACCAGTTTTCTGGACCTTCTGTGCAGTGGGGTGGAGAATGGTCCAGGATTAAGTGGAAGGAGCTGTCTTAATGCATGCAGGGTGCCCGGTCAGCAGAAAAACTTTTGGAAACCAGTCTGTGGTTTAACTACCACACAGGTGATTAGAAAGACAGATGAAGCTACATTCACCAGGGTGGACCTTTTTTCCATGGACTGGGATTGATGGTAATTTTTCCTACCTGACGCTTATTTTGGGAGAGGGGGGAAAGGAAGCCAGTGAAATTTGCCAATCTCTCTCTTTAAATGATCTTGCAGTAAAAATTGTAATTTGCAAGTCTCATTCCTTTGGCAGATTTGAACTTGTCTTTTGGGACAGCACAAATTACTTAATGAGTTTTCTGTTGGCTTAGGAACTGGAGGAATGCACTGTACCTTAACAGCACTTAGAATGAGCTTACAGATGTCCTCTCCAGATCTCT